CTTGGAGAGGTCGCCCTTGTGCACGGCCTCGCCATACTGCTCCTCGGCAACGTTCAGGTTGTTGACGTAGGTCTTAAGGGGTTTGGTGCGTGCGCATGCATGTGTGCGTGTGTGAGGTTATGCGTTCATGCGTGAGTACATGCACGAGAGAGAGTGTGTGTGTATGTGTGTGTGCACGTGTTCTCCATGTTCGTGTGTTCGTATGTGTGTGTGTGTGCAAGGGTGTATGTTCAGCCTTAGAACAAAAGCAGGCGAGAAGGCTTGCAACAAGGGTGCAAAACAGCGACACACACACACACACACACACACACACACACACACACACACACACACACACACACACACACAAGAAAACCAACGCGCGCACAAAACACACACACACACCAAGCACACAAAACAAGAAACACACACACCAAGCACACAAAACAAGAAGCACACACCTGGTGGTGCTTGGCGTGGTGGAGCTGCATAATCTCGGCGGAGATGACGGGCTCAAGCTCTCCGTAGTCATACTGGAGGTCGGGCAGCGTGTGCTTGAGGCGGCTGGCAGCACGAACGCTGCCAAAGGCACGGCGGGTGGTGGTGCGCAGGCACTGCATCATCTTGGCTGAGAGGGAGCGAGGCACAGCAGAGAAACAGACAGACAGACAGAGAAACAGCAGCGAGCAGACAACAGAGGGAGTGCAGGAGAAATGCAGCCGTGCAGCAAGCAGTGCTCACGAATGATGACGGAGATTGTTGGTTGCACACACTCTCTCTCACAGCAGCAGAAACGCCACTGAACACCACTGCATTTTGTGGTGTCGCTTCTCAATTGTGGGCGGACCGCTGCCGCTGCTTTGCTTTGCTGCTCATTTGTGACAACTGCTCTTGCTGCACAACAGCGACAACAGCAGCGACGACGACGACGACCATGACAAAGGCAACACGGATGGACAATGGCCACACCCTGGCCTGCTTCCCAGACGAAACTGTACGCCCTTTTGTTGGTGTGTGTGTGTGTGTTGCGTGTGTATCTTTCGAATGCGTGTCGCACTTCCGCGCACACATGCACGCACTCAAACAGTGTGTCGCGGTCACATCACTCATTCACTTCCCGCACTGCTTCTGTGCACCGCCCACTCGTATTCCCCTTCCTCCACAACGCATATTACAGCTCTTGGACACACTGTCGAGGATTCTGAACGATGAAGAGGATGGCCACATCACGGGATTTAAGGTGTGGCTGCATGCCATGCGTGTGACGAGCGTGGTACAGACATACATTGGACCTGAGTTGCTTTGTTGCCTGCCTTTTTCATTCGTTCACACGCCGCCCTCACATGTGCACAACGACACACCTTCAGATTGTCGGTAAACTGTACCTACCTGGCGACTTGCAAAGGCCCGTGAGCAAGTTCCACGGAAGGTGCGTGTGGCTTTGCTGTGTGAGTGAGTGCGTGCGAGAGAGCGCGCGGTTATGCGTGTGCGCAGGTGTGAGTGCGTGAGCGTGTGCGTGCGTGCATGTGTGCATGCATGTGTGCGTGCGTGAGTGAGTGTGTGTGTGTGTGTGTGTGAGTGCAGGTATACATGCGTGTGTGTGTGTGTGGTTGTGTGAGCACAGGTATACATGCGTGTCTGTGCGTGTGCGCGAGGGGGGCGTGGCGGGCGTGGCTGTGGCTACTTTGGTGGTGCACTGCCATGCTCTTCCTTGTGTGCTCAGCCTCTTCCTTTTTCTGCCGTGGCTTTCTGGCTGACATACAGGATGGTGGAGATCACAACCAACCTCAAGGTGGTCACCATTGAGATCTCCAACGCGTGACAGCGAGCAAACGGCAGGTGTACGGAGGTGCTAGGTTGCTGCTGACTTAATATCCCGTGAACATAAGTCCTCGTCGCATCAAGATGAATAACAGGGCGCCATATGTCTGTCCTTTCTCTTCCCCCCTTCTTTTCTCTGTTTCTTCCTTTCCCTTCTTATTCTTGAGCTGCTCTGCTTGGGCAGCGGGGGGAGGCAGCTGTGCCTGAAATGGCCGCTGGTGTTACAGTGTGTGTGTGTGTGTGTGCATGTGTGGCCGTGCACTTACAATGAGTTGTGTATGTGCACATGCGCATGCAACTTGAGCACTGTAGACTTGACTCATCCCCACCCCCAACTGTATTTCTTCGGCTGCCTTGTTGCACTTCACGCACTCCCTTTCCACGTTGTACTCTGCGTGTACATGTCTTCTTGCGCTTGCTTCGTGTAGGTCCGTTGCTTCAAGTTGGTGTTGATGTTGATGATGATGATGGATGATGGTGATACCATTGCATGCGATGATTTGATTACGACACATGTACATATTCGTTGTGTTGGTTTCGCTTTGCCTTGTTTTCTCGTTTACCTGCTCCTCGCTTGCTTCCTTGTTACTTGTGTGCAATGAACAACACAAACATCAAATTGCATTGTCCACCTAGCGTCAACAGGAAACGAGGCGACGGCAACGCCGTGCACAAGTTGGGGGAGAGGGGAATGCGGCAA